ACCAGGCATATTTTTACACTTTTGTGGTGTTTGTGTTTGGCTGTAATTTTCCGCTTTCTCATTTACTGTTCCCATACAAATTATATATTGTTTTTTTCAGGACAAAGGGGGCTTTCTTTACATACCATTATTTATATAATCTCATGTATTTTAATTTAAAAAAAATACAAAAATCTGATGAAAAATTGAAAAAATACATGTTTTTTTACTTTTACTTGAAAAATCTTTTACTCATCTACAAAAGCGAATGAAAAAAACTGCTAAATAGATTCAAAATTTTGTCCTGAGTTTAAAAATACCTAGTGTTTACGTGTTTTTTTGCTTTTTTTTGCATGTTATAGGGCTATAGGTACAAGTAGGATATTGCGGTTTCAAAACATACATTTTTAAAATTTATCAATAGTGACATTGTAACACTATTATCTGTCATAAATCTCTGAATAACACCCCACATGTACATATTTTTAAAGTAGACAACCCAGGGTATTCAATATGGGGTATGTCCAGTCTTTTTTAGTAGCCACTTAGTCGAAAACACTGGCCAAAGTAAGCATTCATATTTGTTTGTGTGTGAAAAAGTAAAAAAACTAAATTGAACGCTAATTTTGGCCAGTGTTTGTGACCAAGTGGTTACTAAAAAAGACTGGACATACCCCATTTGCAATACCTTGGGTTGTCTTCTTTTGCAAATGGTATGCCATCATGGGGTAATTCTCATTCCTGGGCTACCATACGCTCTCAAAGGCAACGTAACCAACCTGGCCATTTTCAAGGTAAAAATATTTGACCCATATATTTGACCTTGTAACTTTCAAAAATGCTATAAAACCTGTACATGGGGGGTACTGTTTTACTCGGGAGACATCGCTGAACACAAATATTAGTGTTTAAAAACTGAAAAACGTATCACAACAATTATATCATCAGTAAAAGTGCTGTTTGTGTGTGAAAAATGCAAAAAAAGTCACTTTCACTGACAATATCATCGCTGTGATATGTTTTACTGTTTTGAATCACTAATATTTGTGTTCAGCGAAGTCTCCCGAGTAAAACAGTACCCCCCATGTACAGGTTTTAGGTTGTCGTAGAACGTTATAGGGTAAAATACAGTGCTAGCAAATTCAATTCTCTGGAATTTCGGCCTGGGTTGGCAGGCAGGTCCCTTAAATTGCAATCAATAAAATTACTGAATTATGTAAAACTATTACATAAATACGCACGTAGAATTTAAATATATATGCATATTTACATATTTGAAGTCTACGTGTATATTTATATAATTATTTATGTAATTTTGTATATGGACATATGTATATTTCTTATTATTTTTATTTATTTTTATATACATAGATATATATACAAATTAATTCTAAGTGTATTTTGATATAAATATATATATATATTAATTTTAAAATACAGTTAGAATAAAATTTCATATAGATATATAATTTTTTTAAAATTTTTTATTATTTAAAAAATTTTTTATTTAATTTAAATTACTTATTATTTATATTTTATAATAATATATATATACAATATATATAGTTATTATATATATTATATATATACGTGTGTAATTTAATTATAAGTGTATTTTATATTAATATAAGTACATATTAATATAAAAATACACTTAGTATGACATTATATATATATGATATATAGACATATTATATAGATATAATATATGTCTATATATCATATATACACATATATAATTATTATTATTTTTTTAATTAACATTAACTTTATTTTATTTTCTGATTTTACACTAGCAGGGAGACTGCCTGTCAGCACAGGCAGTCCCTCTGCAGGCAGCACTATGGACACCTATTGTGACCATGTGATCGCTGTGTTGAGCTATCACATGGCCACAGGGGTCCTAATTCAGTGTGGGGAGACTGTCTGGGCTGCAGGCAGTCTCCCCACAACCGGAGCCACGCTGATCGCCGCCGGGGGAACGACGGCGATCAGGTAAGTAGCTCAGACCGTTAGAACGGTTCAGGACCGTCATCGGTCGGCAAGCCAAAAATGCCGATGACGGTCCTGAACCGTCCTGGGTCGGGAAGGGGTTAATAAAGGGGTGTGTTTGTATGTAATGTTTGTAATTGCATGCAGGGGTGTTTTTGGATGTAGTGTTGTCTTTTAAATGCAGATGTTAATTTGTGTGTAGTATTGGTGTGAGTGAAGGGCGTATTTGTATATAATTTTGGAGTTTGAATTTAGGGGTATAAATAAAATCAAACAGTAAGACAGGCACTCACAAGTGAATTGCACAAAATACATTGTGCTAAAATCGCATCGCCTCTGAGGGTCCTCTTATCTACAGGATAATGTGTTGTGTGTCCAGAACTGGGACACTCAAGGCACCAATTTGAGAGGGTTTGCCCTCATTAATATGCTGAATTTGTTTGCATGCTCAAATCTACAGTTTTTACACAAAATAAATAAATGTTTTGCAGAATGCTGCACTATAAGCCAGTCCATTTAGCCACACACCCTACCTCCAAAAAAAGACTTCCAAAAAGGCATGCACACAACTCTAGCCAGTGACAGTACTTAACGATCTAAACAACAAAACAATCTACATTCGAAGGACAGACCACCCAGGGAGGCATTTAGTAAGGATTTCACTGCCTGTTTGCAGTTTATCTGACTGTCTGCAGCCAGGTTGTGAATTAAAAACTCACTCATTGCTACTGGGGCTGACACTTGGTGTGCATACATTTTTTCTTGCTTGAAATTTGTATTGGTGCCCAAGGAAAGCATTGGAAAGGCTATCGCACATGCTCGGCAAAACGGCATGCTGTGCAAGTCAGCATCTGCTCATAGAGATGAACTGAATCAATGCATCTCTATGAGGAACATTTAGCGTTTCCATGTACATTGTGACTGCCACTAGAGGTGTTACTAGGCAGTAATGTAAACACTGACTTATCTCTAGTAATTCCCTAGAATTACTTTAATTAGCTCAACTTCGTTTTTCTTACATGCGCTATTTTAGCTGCACCAATCAATAATTAAAAATTCTTAAAGGGACACTACAAGTCCCTACAGGGCTGGCCTTAGCTGATCAGGCACCCTGTGTGAGCCAATGTCGTCGCCCCCCTTCAGCAAAACCCCTGCATCCCTTTTAAACAAAACACCTGCCCATTGTACAATAACCCTGCTCCCCTACTACAAATCCTTCCAAAAAAAAACCTGCCCCAAAACCCTGGCTGGAAAACCCCTGCACTCCTCTACAAACCCCCTGCTCCCCCTTCAACAAAACCCATGCCCCATTTCACAAAACCTCTGCCCTTTCAACAAAATCCCTTCCCCCTTCAACAATAACCATGCCCCTTCTACAAAAAACCTTCCCCTGCCATTTCACTAAAAACCCCTGCTCCCTCTTCTACAAAACCCCTCTCCTACACCAAAGCCCCTATGCCTCTTCTATAAAACTCATGCTCCTCCTTAAACCAAAACCCCTGCCCCTTCTACAAAACCCCTTTTCTATAATTCTGCTAGAAAACCTCTGCTGCTCCTTCTACAAATCCCCCCGTATCTAGTAGACAGCCACTAGAGGAAGACTTAACCCTGCAATGTAAATATGGCAGGGTTAAGTCTTCCTCTAGTGGCTGTCTACTAGACAGCCTTTAGAGGGACTTCCGTGTTTAAAAATGTGAGTACCTCCAGCGTCGCCGAAATCCACATAGGAAAACATTGTATAATGCTTTCCTATGGGGGGCCTAATTTGCATGCGCGGCCATTGCCGCACATGCGCATTAGGTCTCCTCCGTCGACATCAGGAGCGTGGGCGGAGCCTGACCCATCGCCGAGTGACATTGGCGCTGGACTCTGGTAAGTGACTGAAGGGGTTATGTAATGCATAACTAAATTCATGGATGTTTATTTGGGGGTATGTCTACTAAAGTATGATTTAAAAAAAATATATATATATATATATTATTTTTTTTGGCAGTGGACTGTCCCTTTAAAACACAATTGGGCTTATTAATTATATTTGATGCATTTTATACAACAAAGACAACAAGCTCTATAGAATGACAGAGGTTGTATTAAAATGTGCCCGCAGCAGGACTAATTGTTGTTGGGCCCTGCTCAGAGAATAAAAAGTTCTGTTGAAGAATTTGGATTTGTTTTGAATAAATAAACATAATGCTTAATCATGCATACATATCTATTAATTACCTCACATACCATTACATACCGTTTTGTTTAATGTGTTCCACTTGATGAGACTATAATTTAGTGTAAGATTATTGTTAATAAAATCATAATATCCAATTTTTTTGAACGATGTACCATTGTCATCGAAATACCAATTTATAATTTCATAGCCATTAACAAAGTCACCATTTTTATCAAACTTAAATATCTCTCCAAAGAAGGGGAACTTAACGTTTTTAATTTCATGGACCAGCTGTATATGAAGAAAGCAAATACAAAAAAGATGTGATTATACATTAGACATGTAAAAGCACAATCACAAAGCAGAATAGACCTTTTTAGAAAAATTGCAAATTCATTACCTTTACCTTTATCGTCTAGTTTTATGATTCTGTATCTTTTACAGGGGGTCTCAATGCATTAGTGAACATGATTTCTTTTTTAACCTATTAACTTCTGAGCCCAAATTGCTAACAAATAAATGTGATGGTAAAGCATGAAACAACAAACCATCAGTTACAAATACATGGAATTCTGGAAAATCTCAGTCACTAAGGGATTAATTATAAATCTATTGAATGTTGAAACCTAGTGCTTCTTTCTGAATATACAATTTGTGATTAATTTAAAAAAATATATATTTTTAGAACCTATCAGAATTTATAGTCCTAAAAAGTGTACAGGTTGAGGGTAATGTCGGTGTTCTAATACATTAGGCAAAGTATCTCTTACATTTTATAAATGTATAATTGTTATACCAAGACATTTTCAAGTTTCCCTTTCCCTCTTTTTCTTACTTTCCTTCCTTTCCCTTTTCAATCCCTTTCTCTTTCTTCTCATTTATCCTGCCCTCCGTCCATTACCCCTTCTCTTTATTCCATTCTGCATTTTATTCAGATATATGAAAACAAGCAATGACCACAAAAACAAACATTTCAAAACAGAAAAATACAAAGATAGAACTTGGTGTTATGGGAGTTTCAGAGGCCCAATTTGTGAGTTATTTTGATTGGTTATCTTACCTCTTGTGGTGCAAACGTTGTGTCTTTTGTGCATTTTTCATCTTTGCACAAAATGTTTTTCAAAGCATAAGCTATTGATTTTACAGCCAAATTTGTGCTGAATACAGCGCTCCATTCAATATATTCATCTATTGCTGAATTATTTATCCTGCATCTCTGAGAAAAGTTTTGTTTTAAAGAATCTTCAGTAGTAGAACAGTTAGACAACAAATCATTGCATTTCTGATATTCACTGAAATCCTTGGTACACTCAGAATGTTCCTTGATGTATGCTTTAAGAATTAGATTTTTTTCACGATTTTTGTGAGGCTGGAGACTTCGTAGATAAGATTTAAAATATGGAAGAACTTCTCCGTGGAAGTTTATTGCAAGTATAGTTCCAACATTTTTAATATTTGGAATGTTTGCCACATCTCTTGAGTAAGACCAGGTGTTACTAGCAATCCAGGTTCTGGTTATGTTATAAATAATGGATTCATTCAAAATTTTAATGACACAAGAAGCTTGTGCAAAAATGACAATGACATTTGCAGTGTACTTCTGAAGATTATCCATTACACTACTTATCTCTTCCTGCATTTTAGGATCTCTAATATTTGAAGGAATAATTTTTATGAATGCAATACATATTTCATTGTCTCCAAAATATTCATTTAAATATTTAACTGAAGATTGTCCATAATCGTCATTACTTGCAATTATTGCAACCCAATTCCACTGAAATTCTTTTATCATTTTGACAATTCCTTGTGTTTGGTGCACGTCACTTGGAACAGTGCGCAGAAATGAAGGGAATTGCACTGTATCACTAAGATCTGGAGCAGATGATGCAGGACTTACCTATAATAAAATACTAAAAGATCAGTTAATCTATTTAAATATATGTTAACACAATGTGTATTTAATGGGACACTCTGGACACCAATACAGCTTTAAAATATTTAAAATATTTTGGCTTTATTAATATGCTGTATTTTTTTTTTTTTGTATACTCAAATCTCTGTAGTGTTTGCAGAATTCTCCACCATAAGCCTGCCTCTTTCAAAATGGCCCCTCATTATGGCCTGAAAGACATCCTTATCAAAATTGTGAACACATGTCCCAACAGAACTGAGTGAGAGGCTTTTAATTCACAAACTGACTGCAGACAGTCAGATAAACTATAACCAGGTAGTGCTATCCTTATTATAGGCCTCCTTGTCCTCTCCCTCTAACACTGGTTGTTTTACATGAGTGAGGGAGTATAGCTAAAGAAGCAGGCTTATGGTACAGCATTGTGCAAAACATTTATTTATTTTATGCAAAAACTATAACTCCTGTTATCCATCATCGGATCGCCTCCTCCCTAGGGATCCCAGTGTCTGAGAAGGCAGCATGGCCAGGTCCTGTGAGGTGAGTAAATTAACTGTCACACTCAGCTTCTAGTTAGAGGCTTGTAATGTTGCATGTCAGCACTTACCTACTCCAGTGTGCCCTCTTCATCTTGTTGCTTTTTCTGCTCTTTGGTGCGCCCTGCTGGGGACTCCACCTGCAGGGGGTGGGGGCCAGACACATAACTAAGACTCCCTAAAAATACCCAATCACTGCACTTGGTCAGGGCTTGGTTAATCTGGTGCTTGCTAGAGTCTCCTAACATCCAGGTTCCTGATGCCAGGTTCCTGGTTCCTTTTCTGGTAGAGTTCTTGGATTCTGACCTTTCGTTTCAACGCTGACCTCATTTACTTGTCTCCTGCTCCAATTGATGGATTTTCCAGCTTCTCACCTTCAGTTTGAGTTTGGACTACACTCCCTAGCTGCCAGCCCTGACCATTGGACCTCCTGACTGTTTCTTTCTGGTTTTATTACGTATTTTGTAATTAAATGCACTCATGCCCTAATAGATCTTCCAGGTTTTCGTGCCACTCTCAGGCACCTGATAAGCTAGGATTTTCAAGGGGTTGCCGTTCCACTGTAACTGAGTTCCTCTCCAAGCAAACTATCTGGTAGATTGTCACAGGGCATTATTGCAGCTCTGGGACATGGGACAATTAGGGTTAAAGGTAAGGGTTACAATTAGGGCTACATTTACTGACACCTACTGAAAAAAATAATTTACAATTTAAATTAGTTCCTAATGAGTGACGAGAGGAACTAGCTGTTAGCCCTAGGGTATAAAGGATAAATAACTAAAACTTAACTTTTAATATGTACACAAAGGAGAAAAAAGGAAAAAAACAAGTAAAGACAATCTCAAATGTTGCCACTAGGTGGAGACAACACCAGACTGTGCTCGATATAAGCAAATAATAGAAAATACTATATACAGGGTGGGATATTAGGAATGAATAGATATTAGCCCCAAACAATAAATATATATATATATATATATATATATATATATATATATATATATATATTAACAAAAATAAAAATTTACTCTGTAATCTCCCCGTGAGTAAAGGAATTAATAAATCAGTGGCAGACCGCTGTGTCTGCTGTAATATTATATGTAAAGTACATACTTTGTTGCTGTAAATCTTGAAAATGCAACCTGATACAATAACCAAAAGTATGCAATGTCTTGTCAGAGGTGGTCCTTACTAATACAGAAATACAGACAGAGTGCAGCGGCTGCTAGGTAAAGTGAAAGGTGAAGTCCTAATAAGGACTGTTGGGACAGAGTAAGTAAAGTAAATAATCAGAGTGGTTTAAAACCAGAGTGCTCGTGAATGTAGAGGATCATCCTATGGCACTGCTGGTAGAAATCACCATTTGAAAATACTAAATACAGTAAAAAAATATCAGGAAAATAATGCTGCTACACAAATACAAAATATACAGAAAGGTGACTAAAGGAACACAAGGATGAATAGATAGTATAAGGCAAGGGTTCGCTAATCTGTGCCTTCAAGGGCACCTGTAAAGAAATAAATTCTGCTAACTTTATCCTTAGCTAAAGAAATATAAATAGTAACTGTGGTAATGTGCTATTCTGTGCCTTCGAAGGCACCTGTCAAGGAAAGAATCTAACTATCACTGTCTATCCATATGTAGCAGAATGCCAAAAAAGGTTTAAGGTCTTGAACACCCAGGCATGACTGCTGCTGATGAATATCGCTCATGGAGGTCTGTGAGCATCAGTTAGTATATCGCACACTAATCATCTAAAGTGCATTAGAAAGTGGTCTGCAGTCTAAGTTGGGTGTAAGATAGAGCCCCGAAGTATGTTTTGCCGGTCAGGCGGCTCTTCAGGGGGACACAATTAGTTCCTAACCAACATTTTAACCCTCATCTTAACCCATGTCCATATCCCAATCCTGCAGTGAAGCCCCTAACTATAAGTTGAGTGTAGCAATAACTTTACTTCGGAGCAGTCTTTTCAGACACAGTGACCCTGAGGGAGAAGGAGTTCCAATGATATTTAACAGGTGTTGAGGGCAGATAACAGGAAAGATCCAAGATTTGAGAATACAAAAAATACAGAATATTAATGATGCAAAAAGCTATCAAATGTTATTGGTATTTGTGCTCGGAGCGTACCTTTAAAGACACTGATCAGCCACAACATTAAAATCACTGATAGGTGAAGTGAATAACATTGATTATATTATTGCAATGATACCTGTCAAATGGTAGGATATATTAGGCAGCAAATAAACAGTTAGTTTTTGAATTTCATGTGTTGGAAGCAGGAAAAATGGACAAGGGGGAAAGTCTGAGTGACTTTGACAAGGGCCAGATAGTGATGATTAGATGACTGGGTCAGAGCATCTCCAAAACAGAAGGTCTTGAGGGGAGTTTCCGATATGCAGTGGTTAGTACCTACCAAAAGTGGTGCAATGAAGGAAACCAGCATCAGGGTCATAGATGACCAAATCTTATTGATGTACATGTGAAGCAATGGATGGCCCATCTGGTCCAAGAGCTAAAGTACTTGAAAAACGTAATGCTGGCCATGTTAGAAAGGTGTCAGAATACATTGTGCATTCCAGTTTGCTATTAATGGGGCTTCATAGCCGCAGAATCGGTCACAGAACCCATGATGACAAAAGCATCTTCAATCGGGAAGTGAGCATCAGAACATGAATCACATTTTAGATCAGTTGCACCATTTGGTTAAGAGATAGTAGCAGGATGCACTATGGGTAAAAGGCAGGCTGGCGGAGGCAATATTTTATTTTTTTAATTCTTCATTTTCTTGGTGCGTAATTTTCAATAAAGCAATGGTTGACAGATTATGCAGACATCTGCA